TCAGGGTTTTTTGCAAATTCTGACCATCATAATATGAATATATCACATAAATACGAATTTTAAAAGCTATTCAAATAAAAATAAATTGTTAATGTAGAAATAAATAGATATTAAACAAATGGTCCTTCATAGTTTTATTTTCAATACTGTATTAACCCATCTTAACACAATACTTATTACCCATTTACCTAATCAGCATTTTATTATTATAATGAGCCGATTTATCTGGGTAACATTGTGTTCAAGAAAACTTTCCCAAAATTAAAAATCGAGCTTTTTGATAATGTGTGGTTTCAAAAGGCAGAACTGTAAACTGTTACCCATTTAGAACGTATCTATAGCAACGCAATTCGCGTAATTTCCCAGACCATAAAAGCTTCTAAGAAAGGTGTAGGGATTAGGGATGACCACGGAGTTTTGCCAACCAGTAAAACGCAGCTCAAGGGTTCGAGTAGAAAGTTGACCTTTAATTAATTGACGTTAGTTTATTTTTAAAATTCACGATCTCTACCCATTTCCAAATTTTGACTACGCATATATTATCTGCCTACCTACTAATTGCAAAAAATTTCCGCTGCATAAAAATTACATGTGGTTAGTATCTATACAATACAAACTTTACCTTCGAAATAACGTATTACGCTCAAACTGTAATCACATACCTATCAGATAATAAAAATACTTATTCAATATAACCCTGACAACAGCCTGCGAAAGCGTTTTAATCCGGCCCTGAGAGTTACCCGCTGCCAATATGGCGTCGCGATTCGTGAAACGTCATCAAATTCGGCAGAGTTGGCGTTCTGGTTGATTTCTATTTTGTGGCCTAGGCATAAAACAAAGCACTGTTACGCCTAAGCACAAAGGTACAAACATATATTATTAAACTGATATAAGTGTCAAATTCAACGAGTGTACAAATTGTTGCTCGATTACTGTTCATATTATTTGCAATGTTTGAAATTGATCAAAAAATTATTTGTAATGTTTTAAAAGAAATAGTATGTTCTATTCGGAGTAAAAATGTACTTTTCGTGCCTCCCTGTAACGTCGGAATAGCTTTACGATGGTCCTTCAAAGGTACAGAATCGTCAAAAAAGTATAATTTTTACTCCTAATAAAACAATACATTATTGTTCGGAAACAGTCTTAAGTCGAGAATGAAATTAGTATGTATTATCTAATGTCAAAGTGTAAAGTACTTACTGCAGATCAAAATGTTGGTAGGAATTTGGAAACATACAACCGTTACAAAAAAAAACAAATCAACACATTTTCTGACAAGGATTATAGATTCTCGGGAATGAAGATAGTCTCTACGAGTATATCAGAAGAATCTAGTTCTGGCACTATAGACTTTGCTGCGAATGATATGTATTCGAACAACGAATTTTTGTCACTTATACATAAATTTTAAAATAAATCCCTGCGTTTAGCGGTCTAATGGATTCACACGAAATTACTTCAAAAATCGGTCCTACATTTAAATTGATGAATAGATATTTTTATATAGTTTTATAACATTTACAATTATTTTCGATTTATTATCTGTTTATCTGTTATAGAAATATTGTTTCTAGTTTTCTAGGACACATTTTTATAACTTTTACAGTTATTTCTTTATTTATTAATAAATAACGTATAATAAAAAAACGAATTAAAAAAACTTTTCAAAAACGAATTAAAAAATAAGTCGGTTTCTATTTGAAAAAAAATGATTTATTATCATTTTTTAATTTTTTAAATAGATAGCCACATGTCTTTTCTTTATATCACAGTGGCTGTGGTAATCACTAAATCTGTAGTTTAGACAATACAATTTTTTTGACAAGCATTTTTTTCTCACAAAGAATTTTATATATTTTTTTCCCCGAAAATGGCTAATCTTAAGTATAGAGTGTGTACTATCAAGTGCACCTGGGACATCCTGTATAATACCTACTGAGTGTTATCTAGGTTCCTTAAATATTGCTAGCGTGACTAAAACTATTATAATATAATTTTTTAAAACAACACACGATTCTTGAATTGCTATGGCGGGTAAATTCTTGTAATAAATACGGATTTTGAAACGCGCAACTACCAAAAATCGTGCAATTTTGAAACAAAATGATGTAAAACTAATCACCTAAACGCTAGACATACCTATCGCAATACTATTTGTGGTTTTATACTTAAATATGGCGTCAAATTATAGGAAGGTTGAAGGTGCCCAATAATAACCATCGAATCCTAAACGCTTATATTTTATTTATGCACTGACAATAGTTATTATTTGAGGAAAATGCCTTGCGACAAAATAAAAACGGTATCATGGTAGGCATAGCAATAAGATTTCAGTTTGAATTTTACTATGTCTATGCCTGGACCGGCACCAGCCGTTGCCCACCATATATATATATATATATATATATATATATATATATATATATATATATATATATATATATATATATATATATATATATATATATATATATATATATATATATATATTAATCGGTTTAAAACGTTCTACGTCTTCAGATGCCATCTCTCCATGCCTGTCTGTCTCTCCATGCACCGTGTCAATCCCTTCCTGCCAACTTCTTCTCGGTCTACCCGGTTTTCTTCTTCCTGCAGGTTTCCAGTTTATAATTTGCTTTGGGATTCTTATTTCTGCCATTCTTTGGACATGCCCGTACCATATGAGTTGACTGTTCTTTATGTCGTCCACTATCGTATGTTTAACTTCCATAATCTCTCTTATGCGTTCATTAGTTATTCGCTCGAGTCTTGATTTGCCTGCTGATCTTCTCCAAAAATCCATCTCTGTAGCTTCCAGCATTCGTTTTGTTGTTTCCTTAATTGGCCAGACTTCACAGCTGAACGTGGTTATACTCTTTATGATGGTATTGTATATTAAAGTTTTGTTCTTGTTGTTTATGCTTCTGTCCCACAGTATTCCATTCAATACCGTGATAGTATTCCTTCCAAGTTGGTTTCGTTCTTTAATTGCTGTATCCAACAGTCCATCATTTGTGATTTGCATACCCAAATATTTGTATTTTGTGCAGCACTAAATTTTCTTCCCTTCTTCTAGCATTAGATCTTGTTGTTCTCCTCCGATACACATATATTCTGTTTTGTTAGTATTGATCTCGAGTCCCCATTTCTGATATTCTTCTATAAGCTTACATGTCATCGTAATCTTGTGCTATGATCACCTGATCTTCCGCGAAGCAAAGTGTGTAGAGCATGTTATCCCCAATGGGTACTCCCATATTTCTACATTTTTGCTTCCAACCTTTGAGAACTTGTTCGAGATATATCTTGAACAGTGTTGGTGAAATACAGCACCCTTGTTTCAGACCTTTGGTTCCATTATATCCTGTTGTTAACTTTTTGCCGACTTTTATTCTAGTTTTTGTTTGTTTATATAATGATTTCACTGCTTTTATTAGCTCTACATTTATATTGGTTTTCCACTTAGCTTCCCAAAGTCTCACAAGGGGAACGCTGTCGTATGCCTTCTGCAGGTCCACGAACACAAGATGTAGCTCTTGCTTTAGATTGCTCTTTTTACTTATTACTTGAGTGACTGTAAATAAGTGGTCCACCGTCGATGTTCCGGCTCTAAATCCTGCTTGTTCTTCGGCTTCTATTTCTTGGTATTCGTTTTCGATCCTATTTCTCAAAATTTTTCCATATATTCTACTCACGGTGGCTGTTACTGATATTCCCCTGTAGTTTTCGCACTTAGTACGATCTCCCTTTTTGTATATAGTTGAGAGGTAAGCCTCATTCCATTCTGTGGTACATCCGTTCCGTTTATGCAGTCCTGGAATATTTTCCTTAAGTGTTCGTACAGTTTTTTCGGTCCTGATTTAATTAACTCTGACTAACTAACTAACTAACTCTGCCCACTTTTATATACTTTCGTTTAATCAAAATATTTTAGGAAAAAACAATAATTATAAATATACAGGGTAGCGCACCTCATTCGCCTCGGTTGATTATACGAAAACGGAAAGATATAGAAACAAAATATTTTATGGGTATATGTGGGGAAGCAATGCGCACAATTTAATATTATTTTGAAATATACAGGGTGTCTCAGAATTAAGATCCATACCAAAGTTATATTTTTTCTTATGGAATACTCACACCCGGTATTTTATTTCATTTTTGGATTCTTGGGCCCAAAAAAAGGCATTTATTATAAGGGTTAAATATGTTTAAAATCTTTGGTTTTTGAGATATTTAAAGATATTTAAATATGCATGCTACAAAAGAATTGATTTAAAACCCTGTACATTACTTTTCAGAATTAATTCTTGTGCTGAGTTTAAAGGTAAAGAAATAAACTTTACTGAAAAATGTTATTGCTTCCTTAAATCTATACAGGGTTACCAAAAATTGGTGATCTGTTTTAAGGATTTATTTTACATAAAAACTTTGTTATTTCAAATACAACATCCTGTACTTTTTAAAATAAATCGAAGCAGATTCAAATGCTCTTTCAAACTATATTAGAGTTTCCTAAAGCTATCTATCTCAGATTTTGAATAAAACGCGATTTTTCAATAAAATGGCAATCAAGATGGCTGGTACCGCCATGGTAATTTTCTAGTGACAGTTAGACTCGATTAATTTATTATTTTATTAATTAATTACATACTTTTTACAGTTGGGGATTGGAACCTTTGGTGTTACACAGCAAAATAAAACACTAAATCACCACAATACCCAAAAACACATTTATTTTTACAGTGGACGCGCGTTTCGCTATAACCACGTTAGCATCATCAGCAGATGATTAAAACTAAACTAATATCTACAATACATTGTATTGGACGCATGCCAATGACCTATATTTCAATTAAGAAAAAGAATTAACCTTTCTTAAAATAGTACAATTTTTAAATAATTTCTAGAATGAACCAGTGAGTGTGAATCAGGACAATTACTAAACCCTGCGAAATAAAAATATTCATTAAGTTATTCTTTATTATTTTCAGTTACCTTAACGCAGGATCTATACCAGGAAAACAGTGAAGAAAATGCAGTTTTTATAGTGTTGAAAACCAATTACAAGAAAGTGATAGTGTGACCGTTGTTCTTGGGTGTTCCCATAAATTTTCTACAGTTATTCTTTCGTGAAAAATAATAATAATATAGTTTTTTTACATCGAAACAGGCTACGGCGTAAAAATGAAAGGTCGGGAGAAATTGTGTGCCAAGCTGTCGAGCGCTTTTTTGAGAAAGTGGTGTAAGTATATAAATAAATATAGAAAATTTGCCATAAGTCGAGGTGAAACTATGTATAACAGTTAAATTAAGTTTTTATTATTTTTAAATATTTCTTTTTCTACCAAACCAAACATGTACAGGGTGAGTCAACGATAGAGTAAAGTCCATTATCTCATTTGTTTCGTGGTTTACAAAAAAATGTTTAAATATAAAAGTTATTAAAGGAAAGGTTAAGATACATATTTTAAAATTATTATAGAGTCTACAGAGTGCTTTAAAAAAGTGATAAAATTGATTGTTTTTGAAATATTTGAATTTGTTTAAACAAACGTTAGATTTCAGAGTGGTAAAAAACTGTCAGTGATGCCATTGTTGTTAGACTATTCAAATTTTGTAGGAGAGTTTTATAGAGATGAAGTAAAATATATTTGTAAAAATATTTTAATTAGATGCTACAGGGTGTTCAAAATATATTTATGAATTTTAACTATTTAAAATTAAAAAATCTCAATTTTTAGCCGACCATACATTGTTTAAATGTAAACCTAAAGTATGTACAAGGATGTATTTCACGAAAATATTTTAACTTCTATAGGGTGGCTCAAAAAAGTGTGAGTGGATCGGGATAATTTTTTTTTAAATGGAACATCCTGTATATTATTGCATTTTTGGCTTCCTTTCAGATCACTTTACATAATTCTAAGATATGAATAAATATATTTCGATAGTTTCAGAGATATTAATAAATAAATAAAAATTAATATTGTGTAGACATGGGCGCCGGAAGAATGAAATTTGGTGGGGGGCAAGGCAAAAATGAATAAAAAATTGACATTTTTGGTAATTATTGGGAAAACTGGAAATCGTCCGATTTTCACCAAAATTGGTATACACCCTATTTTGAAGTCGTAGATTACGAATCTGAACGTTACGAATCTTTTTTCTTGTTGGTCTCTTACCGTTTTTCAGAAAACCGGAAAATAATTTCAATATCGAATTTTTCTTAATTTCTCATATTTTTAAGGTTTTCTAGCACATATTTTGTTAGGTATTCAATAATCAATAATGTTTTTGCTATTTTCTGTTACTTTTTTAACCAATTCTATGCATAATAGAGGAAAATTTGCTAAAATAAATTTGTAAACAATCTGAAAATGTTAGATTATAGCTTTGTTCAGGTTCTTGTTAGTACCGATTCTGAACCGTCCAAGAACTCTGCAGCGCATGCGCAAATGAAGTAATGTCTTCATATTTCCTTCTGCGCATACACATCACAGTTCTAGGACGATTCAGAATCGGTAATAAGAGAAACCCGAAGTAAGTTTATGTCTTTCTGGCATTTAAAGCAACGTTGCCAATGCTAAACCTTAATTTAGCGTGTTTTTTCGCTCATTCTGGAATTACGAAAGGCGGTCGCCAGAAGAACGGCTCCTTCCCCTAACTGCTATTTTACCAACGAGATCTGACTATTTATACCCACGAAGTTGCACGAAAGAGTTTTGATTGCATTGGTTACAACTTCCATGCAGAGGGTGTTAATCTTTTGTTGTTATATTATTAGATTAACTAAAAAAGATTAACCCCTCCGCAAAGTTAAAACCAATGCAATCAAAACTCTTCCGCGTAATTTTGTGGATATAGGTGTATATTTAATTATTGTCGATCTCATAATAGGTAATTTATTTAAAATCCGTAATCACCCGAAAAATAGAAGATTCTAGACCTAATCTAGAAATTTTCAAATTTCTAGATTAGGTCTAGAATATATTTGTCTCTCTTATTACATAGGAGAGAGAAAGAAGGATATATCAAATGTCAAACTTCCATCTGGTCTCAATTTTCTTTGCAATTTTGTTAAGAAAAGTGTTTTTCAGTAAAATGTTGGACACTTTTCTATCCCCAATCAAGTGTGGCTTTTAGATAAACTATAATATAATGAAAATATAGTGAAATTATTACTTTATAGGGCCGAAATAAAGAAAAAATCAATGTTGAAATAATTTTCCGTTTTTCTGAAAAACGGTAAGAGACCGCCAAGAAAAAATAGATTCGTAATCTACGACCTCAAAATAGTGTGTATACCAATTTTGGTGAAAATCGGACCATTTCCAGTTTTCCCAATAATTACCACATTTTTTATTATTTTACAGGTAACACCTAACAATTTCATAATAATGATTATTTTTTTACAGATGGATGTAAGAAGATAGCTTTTATTTTTATTGTTTCAGTGATCCAGGGGGGGGGGGGCAAATGGCCCCTCTTGCCCCCCCTGTCCGGCGCCCATGTGTGTAGACTTAGTTAAGGAAGCTCTCACGCTAAAATATCTTGTGTATGATAATTATATAGACATTTTATGAAAAAAGTCATTAAACTACAATTTATTTTGTCCAAAATGAAGGAATTTTCCCCTTTGTGTCATTTTAGAATGATTAATTTCATATTAATATGCAAAACAATTAATATTGCTGTGTTCGAAGGCAATAGTTATGTCCATGACTAACGTTAAAATATGATTACCAAAACAACTTGAATGCCAACTGACAATAACTGACCACAAGTGCTAAATGGAACACCCAACACAACCACGAGAATTATAAGTATATATTATTATACCAGGTTTCAATAATTTTTCAGTCATTATCGCGGGTCTAAATACATACAATTTATTTTTTTATGTACAATGAATGTTGGAGATAATAGGATTATACAGGGTGTCCCAGGCTGAGCGTGCATTGGAAGAGAATCTAGAGAACTACAATTCTAGATCTGAGATGTTTTATCTATCGATTAAAAATATTTTCAATATGGCTGCACTTCGGGAAGTACCGGAAGTTGACAGCAACTTTCTTATTTTAAATGGGTACCTCTATTTTTTTGCATACTTATATTATCTGAAAAATTTTATGAATTTTGATAGTAAACACTCTATATCTAACATTAACCGTTTTTGAGAAAAATAAATTTGGACGAAAAAAATTACCTGTCAAAAAAATTTGTGAAGTCTAAAAGTCAAATAAAGTGATTGTCACAGTCGCTGTGATATAAAGAGAATACATATGGCTATCTATTTAAAAAAATTAAATTGTTTGAATGTCATATAATAATGGCGGTAGCTGTCAAGGATTTGAGCGATTAACAAATTATCATAAATAATTTTTTCCAAATGGAAACCCACATTTTTTATTTCACTAGTCAAAAGATTTTTCAATTCGTTACTTTTTGACTATGCACGTTCCTATACCTAAAATAAATCGTTTTCAAGTTATTTAAGATTAAGTTTTAAAACGTATATTTTTTCTTGATTTTATCTAGCTTCCTTTGACATTAACTGTCAAACAATCAGACAATTTATTTCCATCTGTCAGGAAACTAATTATTTGAATTTCCTGTATTATAAATACTGCCTGCCTTAAGAGTTTAAAAAGTGTATTTATAAAAATATCGTATTTTCGCTCTTTAGAGATATCTAATAGTTGATATTATTAATAATATAATAATATAACATATGATCGAAAAAAACCGGCTCAAAGTTGGCTTGGAAATGATGATCGATGACATATTGCTTTTTTAACAGAGTGTCACAATATGACAGAGCAAGATCTATTGTTTTACATCACTTGACATTTAAAGTCATAGGCTACTGGTTAAAATGAAGGAAAATATACCCTTTAAAACTAAATCTTAAATATCTTAAAAACGATTTATTTTAGGTACAGTACAGGAACATGTATAGGCAAAAAGTAACGAATTGAAGAACCTTTTCACTAGTGAAGTCAAAAAAGTCATTCGAAAAAAAAATATTTATGATAATTTTTTAATCGTTCAATTCCATGACAGCTACCGCCATTATTCTATGACATTCAAAAAATTTAATTCTTGAAATAGATCACCACATGTCTTCCCTTTATGTAGCAGTGGTTGTCCTGATCACTAAATTTGACGTTTAAAAAACACACATAAGCATTGCCTGGAAACTTATATGGTGAAATTTTGATAAAATAATTTAGTACACACTAAAAACACGGTATGTCGCTAGTGGTAGGAAAAATAATTTTTAGAGGTTACTAGTTTATTTGGTTGTCTGTGATATGCATATACGGGATGTTTCATAATTAATCTAAAAAATAAAAAAATCGTTAGAAAACGAATTAAGGCGGGCTCTTAATAAGTATATTTATTTTTTTCTCGACAACCGTTTGATGAACAAGAAAAACTCAAAAGATCAATTTTGTTGAAAAAGGATGGCCAGTCAAGAAAAAAATATATTTTCTTTAAAAAAGCAGTAGTGTACCATTTATGTTAATAATATGAAAAATACTATATAAATACTATATAAATAATGAAAAAATATCGATTTTTTTAAATATTTAACACCCTGTAGATCAGAAAGGAAGTACTTTAGACCCAATGGTTATATAAAAATTGTTTTAAGAACACATGAGGACTCACACCACAATTTTTTAGACTAATTAGAAAACACCCTGTATATTGTCAACTTGACAATGATTGATGATAAATCAAAAAATACCTTTTCTGTGAAAAAAGCTCGATTTTCGCAGAAAAAATTTTGGTTTTATTGAATTTGGGCCTGCGTCTGCAAATATGGTATGTTATTTAATATTCTATCTATCTAAATTTTAAATATCATAGTCAAAAATAGTTTTATTATTTATTAACTGTAAAAATGGTATACTTATAAGTTTTATCAAATATTGTGATTTACTTTCTACCTTGTAGTCAAAATTTATATTTAATAAACTGTAAAATATATATATTCTTATGTTTTATTAAAGTTACTCTGATATACTAATATATCAGTGTAACTTTAAAATTAGATCCTTTGAAATCAAATATAAACATAAAAAATATTTACAGCAGAAAAGGCGAAGGCGCTGGGTTAAACGTAGTCTCTACTAAGAACACGGAGGGGCGCTTTGACCCAAAATTTTACTATTAAGTTTCATATCTATCTTAATAGAAGATTATTTTCTTTTATCTATGGTTTGAGTTACATTT